TTCCCAAACTGCTTCTTTTCTGATGACACTCACTACTTTATACCCACATTACTTTGGCGGCCTAGCTCCATCTTGCTGACTTATCTGGTTTCGTCTGAACGCTCACCTGTTTTCTGACCTTGCTCGGACTTCTGAAACCTAATGATCTAGGCTCTGCCGACGAAAGGCTCTTACCTTCACCGCAAGAGCATTGCTGATCATTATTGAACCTTATTGTTATGCCCCATTTCTGTCTTAACATGTTCATTTCTGTTGATGCCCTCCGTCATCATGTAGACTTTACTAATAGGACTTTCACCTTATGAGCTGACATTCTAGTCTTGTCTGAATGATTTAGTATCTTCCGACTTCCGCGACCCTAATGATCAGAAACCGGCAGACCCAACGGTCTGTGCACATTACCTGGAGCATATCGTTGGCTTCTTTCTTCCCATCCATATAGCCCTTTGTCGCACTCTATGTCTGACTTATTTGGTTCTGCCTGTAAGGTCTCCTGCCTTCCGACCTCTCTCGGACTTCTAAGACCTAACTGATCTAGGCTCTGCAAATGCAACGCTCCGTCTCCCCGCCTCCAGAGCACTGCTGCCCATGATTCATCATTAGTAACTCCCCTTTTATCCTTAACACCTCTATACGTTTGACGCTCTGTTAACATTCCGACATTTATAATATGGCTTTCTCACCATGAGCCGATATCCTCCACTCCTCACCATGGTCTTCTGCTTTCCGAATACTGAGCCTATACTTTAGAACCAACCACAGGTCCAAAGGTCTGTTTGCAACACCTCGAGCTCTTTGTAGGCCTTTCCACCTCACTTTAATAGGCTCCTCCTTCCAAACAACATTCTTTTATTTTCGCGCTCTCAGTTTGCATTCCTTTATCCATCGGACGGAAAATTCTTCGGGCCTGGCTCTACTCTAGCCCCATCTGAACAGTCTCCTACTTTGTCACCTGGTTCCAGACATCCGAGACGAATATGTTCTGGGCTGTGCAATCAAAACACACCCTGTCCCAAAGCCTGAAAGCTTCGTGTGACATGCTGACTGGCTTTTTAAATAGCCGCTGTAGTCCAAAAATTTTTCTTTTCTTAAGACACTCACCACTGTTTTTCCCACTTCACTTTGGCGGCCTAGCTTCATCTTGCTGACTTATCCGGTCTCATCTATACGGTCTCTTGCTTTCTGACCCCTCTCGGACATCTGATGTCTAAATGATCTAGGGTCTGCCGACGTATCGCTCCGTGACTCACATTTCATGAGCATTACTGGTCGTGATTTATTATGTTCCCCTTACAAGCTTAACATGTATATTTCTGCCGACTCTCTGTTAACCTTCTGGCAATAATAATATTGCTTTCTCTCTATGAGCCGACATTCTAGGCCCGTCTCAATGGTCTCCTTTCTGACTACTGAGGCCTTATCCATGAATCACCAACAGATCCAATGGTCTGTTCACAACATTGTACGCTTTTCCTCTTCTCCCCAATACATACTTTTCTTTCCTGACCTCATTCTTACCTTTTCGTGCCTCCTTTACATTTTTTCAACTGGACGGAGGACTTCCGGGTTCGGCTTTAATCTATCCTTGTCTGCCCAGGCTACTTTCTGATTGCTTCCAGACATCCGAGACATAAAAGGTTTAGGCACTGTAGTCCCAACAATCTTTGCCCCTCCTCCTTTTTGCCTTGCATGTCATACTATCTACCTATTTCGGCGCAAGGTTCTGCCACCCTTATCTCAAGCACCTCTAAGGGCATTATTCATCCTTCGTTTTATTAATAAGGATGAATCACCATCTGAAGAACGTCGGCGGCTCTTCCCCTTCTTCAGTCGTACCTGCTTTACCGACCCTTTTGTTTCCTACCAACACTTTCTCTTGCATTCCTACTTCATTCAACGCTAACATACATGTGTTTGTCCTTTCTGACATCTAGGATTCCTACCAATTTAGGACTGAAGAAACACGTCCCTGTCGCTGCTTCTGAGTGATAGCCCCTCTCATAATCTGCATATCTCGCCCGCCTCTCTCTGGTTTCCACCGATTGGGCAAATGCGCATTAGGACCCCTCAAACATTCTTTGCTTCATCATCGATCTTTCATGATTTACTGCTCTGTGTTCTGCTCGATTCTCGTCGTCTTTCGCCATTTATGATACACGTGAATATGCGATATTTAAATGACAATTACATGTATAGGGGTGCAACAGTTCAGCCCTTGTTGAAATTGAACGGCTGCGTTTCAAATACATTCCTATCTTCTGTCTGTGTGGCTGTCTCTGTTTGTTTCCAGTTTTCACGAGTTTGCACAGGTACGGCGACAAGCACCGAAGGAATTTTGCATCGCTGCGACAACAATACAAGCACACAGTTCCCTTATCTGGACATGAGCGGAAGACTATCAACTCTTTTACAACTTACTAACCGGACAAATCATTCGCTATCTTGCAGGGATAAAATTTTCCGAGGCTCGAACCATTGGTTTCAAGTTGCCTAAAACTACCTTTTCCATATACCTCTTGCTTGGAGAACTCATTTTGACTTCGGAAAGCACATTCACTTGCCAATACAAAGCCTAAACAATTGGTCATCCTGAGCTCTTCAATCCGCTTTGACCATTCAATTGGCCGAGGTTTCCTACGTTTCTAATCAACTTTACTACATACCCGGAGACCTGCGACTTTTTCTTCGAAACCATATCCTATCCTTCAAGACTTCAACATATTTCAGTATGTATCACTCGGAGACTTCACTTCGTTCGGCAGAGGATCAACAAGTCATATTCAAAGAGTATGTTTAGTTCCCGATCTACCAGTCGGGCACAAGATAGGACTCAGGAACGCAATAGGCACCCGGCTAACGCATCAGCCGGCAGAAAAATAGGACGTAACTGGACTGCGGATAACCCAGCAACCAAATGTTCAAGCAGAAACTTAGCCAGTTACAACTTGCCATTCAATGGATTGGCGGCAGTGTTTCAGGACGTGGTGGGGTTTTGCTTGGCAAGCGTTCTCCCTATAAAAGGTCACCAATGTCCGTTTAACAACACTGCAACGTAACGAAAGTAACTCGCCACCGAGTAAATTCACAGCCCAAAACTTTACCCTGGCATGTCAACTAGCATCGCCATTCTAGATAGGTTCGTTATGGTGGAACTTCCACATATGTATATACGGTCGTTTAATCTTTCTACGAATTCACGCAGACTGTCGTCTTTTTACTTCTACAATATCACCGTTGACCTTTGCGTTACTTATGCACTAACGCACGATATTGTCATATCTCTCTCGAGCGTACTCTTCAATTAGCTTCCAATGGATCATTCAGGATTCTCATTCTATTATTAGCCGAGGTATGACTGCAATATCTGGCTGGCCGATAGTGTCCTAAAAACGGGTCCTGATTCCACGACAGCCAACTTATTTTTTCACATTTTCACCACTGTACAGCTCCAATCGTGGACATATAAACAATTTTCTACTGTCACTGTTACCGTTGCCATAAAACGTCTGTACCTTTGTACGTACCTGATCATTTCTCAATGGCCGTGCCTCGCATAGTCGAAAACAATATATAGTTGAAATTTTTAAAGAGAGCACCTGGCGGCAAGTTTCTTCACTTCACCTTAGGTTAAATTGCTTCTTTCATGTAGAGCTTACGTATTGCGTAAAAGACGTTTCGTCGCTATCCTTGGAGTGTTTTCTTTTCTGTATACTATAAACAGCAATCTTGGCAGGAGCAAGGAATAATGACGAAGCCAGTTCACTCCTCCGAAGAAGCGATTTGGCTGCTGACCTCCGATCCAGGTGTAGGGATATATTTTGCCTTAGAACCTTTATCGGACGTCATGCAGAAGCTGAGAGTGAACCAGACACCAGTCCCTTCCACAACCCCGTCGGCTCTCTTGAAAATCTCTTTGCCCGGCTCGCCCAAGCTTTGCTGGGAAATATAAGGGCAAATATACTTTAAGCACTTCTCGGTCTCACCAAGCGGTACTGTTAGTATTTCCCTACCGGCAAACAAGACGGTTGATAAAGTTATGGACTGTAAGGTGTTAGGAGAGACTACAATGGAAAAGTTCGCCGCCCTTCGTTGTTCGGCAACACTTAAAAGGTTGAAGCTATTTAGGTGGTTGTCCACTGAATCGCTTATCAGCTTTGCAAACAACTTGTTTACTACGCTTGTCAAATTGACAGGTCGGTAGTGCGCGAGCGAAGCGCTGTTAACGCCCTTAAAAATTGGATAGATGATTGACACCTTCCATTCCAAAGGTAGGAAGCTGCGTTCAAGTGAGTTTGAAAACAAGCAGGTAAGAGGACCACTCAGCTCAGTGGCCGATTAATGCAACAGCTTTGGATGCATTGAATAAGGACCGGAAGCTTTAAAGGGATTAATGCGTTTCAGTAGCTCGAAGGAGTGGGTCTCCGTTATGTTCAACGTAGCTAAGCAAGAAGCCGCTGGTACGCTTGCAACCAATCCAACTTGAGACAAAGCGATACCTTGAGCAAATACCTCAGTAGAGTATTCACTATTTATACGATCCTTGTCCCAATCAGTTTGCACACAGCTCCTATCTGACGCAATAACGATGGTATACACAGTGTTGCCACGCTGTCCCTTTAAACGTCAGCAAAAAGCTTCTTGGAATTAACTGCAGCAACGTCCGCGCCGCCCGGCGACGGGGTTCTGTCCGAGAGCTGCCACCGCCGCCGCCACCGCCGGGCCGGCCGCGCGCCCCGTCCTCCGCACGTCCGCCCCCGCCCGGCCGCCCGCCCACGACCGCAGGCCCCGCCCGCGCCCCGGCACCCACTCCCGCCCCCGCCCCCGCCGCGCGACCGCCCGTTCCGGCGCCGCCGCGCTACCGCCTACCGCGCGGCTCTCCCTACCGCGATCCGCCCCCCCGACCCCGCCAGGGTCCCCCGCGCGCCGGCGGCCCGCGGCGGCCGCGCGCGCCCGCGGCCGCCCTCCCCGCGCGCCCCGCCGCCCGCGCGCCCCCCACTTAGAACCTCCGGCAGCCCGCGCTCTACGCGATCCCGACCCCGCACACTCCATTCCGGTCCGCACACGTACCGCTCCGCCGCTGTACCGCCGCGGCCCCGGGCCCCGCCCGGCCCGCCGTCCGCTCCGGCGGCCCCGCCGCGCCGGCGTCCCCGCGCGAGTCCGGCCGCATCCGGCGTGAGTTTTATGTCCGCAGCGCTCCGCACTCCGCCCGCGCCCACGCCGCCCGACGCCGCCGCCCGGGCCCGGCCGCGCGCGCACCCCGCCGCCGCCGAGGGGCGGCCGCCGCGCGTCCGGGCGCACCGCGCCGGCGGGAATCCGCCCGGCGGGCCCGCCGCCCGACGTCCGCGGCCCGCCCGCGCGGCCCGGCGCCCGGCCGCCCCGAAGTAGGCCCGCCGCCCGGCGCCCCGCCCGGCCCGCCCCCCGGCCCCAGTCCGCTAAAAGCAGCCGCCGCACCCCGCCGCGCACGCCACGTCCGGCCCCGTCATACCGCCCGCCGCCGGAGCCGGGGCGCCCCGCCTCCGCCGGCCGCCCGGCGCCTCCGCCGCCCCGCCGGCCACGCGCCGCCCACCCTCCGCGCGCCGGCCGACCCGCGCGCCCAGCCGCCCCCGCCAGACGGAGTCCCGCCTACCCGGGCTCCCCCCGCCGCCACGCGGCGGGCCCACCCGCGTCGCGCGGCCCCCGCCCCCATGCGCGCCCACTCCGCACCCCGCGCGTCACACCGAGACCGTTGCCAACCTCAGCCTCCGTCAAAGGTGGGCCATCTAAAACAATTACATAGAAATCGCGAATACCATCTTTACATTCTATCTTAGCTTTCCAACTGACTATTGCGTACGCTAACTTATGCATCGCAAGCGGCGTGCGCACACGGCGAGCATGCGGAACCATGCATCAACGGCTCCACCCCTGCGTCCAGTAGCCATCGCTGACCGCTGCTCATACTACGCCGCGTTTTTACGTCTCGCCGTAGGTCGCACGCCGCGCGCATTCGCATCGATCATGATCATTAAACCGACAGTCAGGCTGGAGACAGAGAGCAGGTGGCGAAACACCCTCCGCTATGTGCCGCAATATACATGAAAGAAATTACATACATACATACATATAACTACAATACACAAAGGAAAAATAGATAAACAGTTGCAGTGCCAGTTGAGCTACCAGCAACGGATATGCATCGTTTCCGGTAAGCTCCACCAGCGACTAGCAAAAAGAAATTTTCTTTATTTAAGAGTCGATTATCGTTTTCAGAGAGAGTCTCGCGTGAGACTCGTAGCATGGAGGGGAGACTAAGAGGGATGGAGGTGGGACAATGAAATCACCAGCACGAACGCCACGGAGGTCGGGATCTAAGCCCTATCAGCACACAAAAAAAGTGGGTGTGTCAATCAAACGTGTTGTTGTTCATCGTCTTTCGGACCCAACAAGGGAGCCGAGATCGCTCCAACGATGCAGTCAAAAATGTGAGGGCCTCATTTCCTCACGACCAAGTCATCGCTTGGCCACCTCTCTTCTACCATCCCACCCCGGCGGGCCAAACACACCACGTCGCGGAGTCGGTGGGTGGCATGCGTAAAACGTGGCCGAGCCAATCGGAGCCTGATGCGTAAATAACGGTGCTGAGCGGTTCATTCCTTCTTCCTGTGCATAACAAGCGTTCGAACACGCTCGTTACTCACGCGGAGTTCACACAAATGTGAGTAAATTGCGAAGGGACGGTGGTTCGCACGTAACTAGCCTCTTCAGGTCCGCTGGTTTTAAGCGGTTCAGGTTTCAAACGTAAGCGGGTCGAACGTTACAGTGCATTGTACACTCTACCCTTCAGGGTAGAGTGATGTCGCGCCGGCGCCATAAGTGGCGAAGGCTAGCAAAGAGCCTCCGAGCTTATGCTAATACGATTCGTGATCTCATCTTTCAATCCAGGCGCTGATAACAACTTCCAGGGATAGTTGAATTTTGAACGACTTCTCCAGCTGATCCCCACAAAGGGTCAGCGAGGAGGCGGTCCGACAATCTGGTGGACACCGCTTTTGCACTTCGAGGGTGCGAAAGCAAAGCCCGAAAGTGACGACAGTAGTGCTAATCTGTCCAGAGCCGTTGGAGTTGGGAGCTGTCACAGATGAGGGCAATATCATCAGCATACTCAAAGTCAAGAAGTCGTTCTCTGGGATCAGTCCACACCTTCTAAGTCGTGTCCTGTGACACGCGGATTCCTGCCACGTCAAAGCGAAGTTGAAGAGGAAAGGTGACAGCGGGACATCCTTGTCTCACGCCGCTGGAGATCTTAAAGGAGACGACAGCTTGCCGTAAGCCCTCACTCTGCCCGAGCTACGCGATTATAATGCTGGATAATATTTACATATTTCTCGGTCACACCTTCTGAGTAGACAGTCCAAGTGCAGTTAATCCACCGAATCGAATGCACCTTTGAATCGGAGAACACGACAACGGTGGGCCGACAACATGTGGCGGTCGCTCCAACACTGACGCAAGGTGAAGATGTGGTCAATGCAGCACGACCTCGACGAAACCAGCTTGCTCTCACGACTCTGGCTTCACGAGTGCCAGTCAGTCTGTGAAGGATGACAGAGGCAAGCAATTTGGAGGCGATGGAGATCAGACTGATTCTCTGTGGCTGCCGCATTCCGATCGTGAGCACCTTTGAAACAGGGTCTCTGCGGCGGCGGCCATCGGTGGGACAGGTTTCATGCTCCCACAGTCTCATAGTAAACTCGGTTTACATACGGCATGGGCCCCGGGCGCGCGGGTCCACGCGCGCGGCGTCGGGCGCGCCGGCGCACGCTGGCAGGCGGGCCCAGCGCGCGCCTGCGGGCGCGAGCGCATGCGCGCGAGCCGCGCTACGCGGCCGCGCGCGCCGCGCCGCGCGCCGCGCGCGCGCCGCGCGCGCCGCGCGCGCGCCGCGCCGCCGCGCGCGCCGCGCGCCGCGCCGCGCCGCGCGCGCGCCGCGCGCGCCGCGCGCGCGCCGCCGCGCGCCGCCGCGCCGCGCGCCGCGCGCGCGCGCCGCCGCGCGCCGCGCGCCGCGCGCGCGCCGCGCGCGCGCGCCGCGCGCCGCGCCGCGCCGCGCGCCGCGCGCGCGCGCCGCCGCGCCGCGCGCCGCGCGCCGCGCGCCGCGCGCCGCGCGCCGCGCCGCGCGCGCGCCGCGCGCCGCCGCGCGCGCGCCGCGCGCGCCGCGCGCCGCGCGCGCCGCGCCGCGCGCGCCGCGCGCGCCGCGCCGCGCGCCGCGCCGCGCGCGCGCCGCGCCGCGCGCCGCGCGCGCCGCGCCGCGCGCGCGCCGCGCGCCGCGCCGCGCGCCGCGCGCGCCGCGCGCGCGCCGCGCCGCCGCCGCGCGCCGCGCGCGCCGCGCCGCGCGCGCCGCCGCCGCGCGCCGCGCGCGCGCCGCGCGCGCGCCGCCGCGCCGCGCCGCGCGCGCCGCGCGCGCCGCGCGCCGCGCGCGCCGCGCGCCGCCGCGCGCGCGCCGCGCGCCGCGCGCCGCCGCCGCGCGCCGCGCGCGCCGCGCCGCGCGCCGCCGCGCGCCGCGCGCGCGCCGCGCCGCGCGCCGCGCGCGCGCCGCGCGCGCCGCCGCCGCGCCGCGCGCCGCGCGCGCTCGCGCGCCGCGCCGCGCGCGCGCCGCGCGCGCCGCGCGCCGCGCGCGCCGCGCGCGCGCGCCGCGCGCGCGCCGCGCGCGCCGCGCCGCGCGCGCGCCGCGCCGCGCCGCGCCGCCGCGCGCCGCGCCGCGCGCCGCGCGCGCCGCGCGCGCCGCGCGCCGCGCCGCGCGCGCGCCGCGCGCGCGCCGCGCGCCGCGCGCGCCGCCGCGCGCCGCGCCGCCGCCGCGCGCGCCGCGCGCCGCGCCGCGCCGCGCGCCGCGCGCGCGCCGCGCGCGCCGCGCCGCGCGCCGCGCCGCGCGCGCCGCCCGCGCGCGCGCGCGCCGCCGCGCCGCGCGCCGCGCCGCGCGCGCGCCGCGCCGCCGCGCGCGCGCGCCGCGCGCGCGCCCGCGCCGCGCGCGCCGCGCGCGCCGCGCCGCGCGCCGCGCGCCGCGCCGCGCCGCGCGCGCCGCGCCGCGCGCCGCGCCGCGCGCGCCGCGCGCCGCGCCGCGCGCGCGCCGCGCCGCGCGCCGCGCGCGCCGCCGCGCGCGCGCCGCGCGCCGCGCCGCCGCGCGCGCCGCGCGCGCGCCGCGCGCCGCCGCCGCGCCGCGCGCGCCGCGCCGCGCGCCCGCGCCGCGCGCCGCGCGCGCCGCGCCGCGCGCCGCGCCGCGCGCGCGCCGCCGCCGCCGCGCCGCGCGCCGCCGCGCGCCGCGCGCGCCGCGCGCGCCGCGCCGCGCCGCGCGCCGCGCCGCGCGCCGCGCGCGCCGCCGCGCGCGCCGCCGCGCCGCGCGCCGCGCGCCGCGCCGCGCCGCGCGCGCCGCCCGCGCGCCGCGCCGCCGCGCGCGCGCCGCGCCGCGCCGCCGCGCCCGCGCGCGCGCGCCGCGCCGCGCCGCGCGCGCCGCGCCGCCGCGCCGCGCGCCGCGCGCCGCGCGCCGCCGCGCGCGCCGCGCCGCCGCGCGCCGCCGCGCCGCGCGCGCGCCGCCGCGCGCCGCGCCGCGCGCGCCGCCGCGCCGCCGCGCGCGCCGCGCGCGCGCCGCGCGCGCCGCCGCGCGCCGCGCCGCGCGCCGCCGCGCGCGCCGCGCCGCGCGCCGCGCGCCGCCGCGCCGCGCGCCGCGCGCGCGCCGCCGCGCGCCGCGCCGCCGCGCGCCGCGCGCGCCGCCGCGCGCCGCGCGCCGCGCGCGCCGCCGCGCCGCGCCGCGCCGCGCCGCGCGCCCGCGCGCGCCGCCGCGCCGCCGCGCCGCGCGCCGCCGCGCCGCGCGCCGCCGCGCCGCCGCGCGCGCCGCGCGCCGCCGCGCCGCGCGCCGCGCGCGCGCGCCGCGCCGCGCGCGCGCCGCCGCCGCGCCGCCGCGCCGCCGCGCGCGCCGCCGCCGCGCCGCGCGCGCGCCGCGCCGCGCGCCGCGCGCGCGCCGCGCCGCGCGCCGCGCGCCGCGCCGCCGCGCGCGCCGCGCCGCGCCGCCGCGCCGCCGCCGCGCGCCGCGCCGCGCGCGCCGCGCCGCCGCGCGCGCGCCGCGCGCCGCGCGCGCCGCCGCCGCGCCGCCGCGCCGCGCCGCGCCGCGCGCCGCGCGCGCCGCGCGCCGCCGCGCGCGCGCGCCGCCGCCCGCGCGCGCGCGCGCCGCCGCCGCGCCGCGCGCCGCGCCGCGCCGCGCGCCGCGCGCCGCGCCGCGCCGCCGCGCGCGCCGCGCCGCGCCGCGCGCCGCGCGCGCCGCCGCGCCGCGCGCCGCCGCCGCGCCGCGCCGCCGCGCCCGCGCCGCGCGCGCCGCCGCGCGCGCGCCGCGCGCGCCGCCGCCGCGCCGCGCCGCGCCGCCGCGCCGCGCGCCGCGCGCCGCGCCGCGCGCGCCGCCGCGCCGCCGCGCGCCGCCGCGCGCGCCGCCGCGCCGCGCGCCGCGCCGCCGCGCCGCGCGCCGCGCCGCCGCCGCGCGCCGCCGCGCGCGCCGCGCGCCGCGCGCGCCGCGCGCCGCCGCGCGCGCGCCGCCGCGCGCCGCCGCCGCGCCCGCGCGCCGCGCGCGCGCCGCCGCGCCGCCGCGCCGCGCGCGCGCCCGCCGCCGCGCGCCGCGCCGCGCGCCGCCCGCGCCGCCGCGCCGCGCGCCCGCGCGCGCCGCGCCGCGCCGCCGCGCGCCGCCGCGCGCCGCCGCCGCGCGCGCCGCCGCGCCGCGCGCCGCGCCGCGCCGCCGCGCGCCGCGCCGCGCCGCGCCGCCGCGCGCGCGCGCCGCGCCGCCGCGCGCGCCGCGCGC